ACCAGGAATAGCCGGCGGGGACTGGGAGCTGTTTCTTTATGTCGTTGCTCATGGGGGGCTGTTTTACATAGTTGCCATGCCTATTAAGCGTGGGACTCTTACTTCCTTATTCTTTTACACCACTCTTATTAAGGACTAGGGACCCAGATTCAGTGTAGTGTAATAGGGTATAATAACTGGCGGCAACTAGGGGCCACGGCCACCCTCAATTCAGGGCCCTCATTCAGGGTAGTGTAATAGGGGTATTAATTCAGGGTCCTGATTCAGTGTAGTGTAATATGGATATAAGTTGGCAACATCAACCTGTCCTTGTCCTGTCATGTAGGGATGGGCAAGTGAAAAAATATATCGGTATATACGTATCGGTTGGCAACCGTAGTTTTCTTAATGGCAATTTTTGCTGTTATCAGAAAGATGATGCTGTCCATCTTATGCCTCAGTATCCCTATCTCGCCTCTTACGACACCCACGGGAAGATATGGGGTAGTGGATATTCTTACTGCCACTACACGGTACTCATCTTTAACTTGATGCTCATAGGGAGCTTGTTCCCTACATTTTTTGTTGATTACACTTAATGAACTAAACATTTTAGAGAAAATGCATTATACAGTTGTTGTTTAGAGCAAACCATGTCCTCTAAAACTGACCATAATTTGTAGTCTAAAGGGCTGAGGTCTGGGCTAGATGAGGGCCAGTCTTCAGCTCTTATAAAGTCCGGAACGTTGGTTTTAAGCCAGGCTTGGGTAGTTCGTGCCTTGTGACCAGGTGCAGAGTCCTGCTGGAAAATCCACGGTAAATTTTTAAAGCCAAAGTGTACCGTGGCTGTACTTTGGCTGAAGTTTTCACTCTTTTTTCACAATAATGTAGCTTTGTGGCGCCTTGATAAGACACGCCCCACCAAACCATCACCGACGCAGAATGATGACCACGTTGTACCTTTCCGACCACTTGAGCAGCTTCTTTGGAACTATGAGCGTACACTTTATCATTTTGCTTATTGTAGTGCTCTTCAATCATGAAATTATTTTCATTGGTAAAGAGGATATTTCCGTGCCATTCACCTGCGTATCGCGATAGAAGGCGTTTTGATCGATCCACTCTCTTTAATTTTAAGATTAATTTAGGGCATGTCATGTATATCGACGATAAGCACCGAGCTTCAGTTTTATAATACGCGACAGAGTTCTAGTGGGAATCTTCATTTCTCGCGATAAGATTTTTTGCTTCCTAATGGGATCTCGACGAATTCTGGCTTTAACAGCATTAACAGCTTTTGTAGTTGTAACAGCATGTGGCCGTCCCGGTACCTTTTACGGTCTGCGATAGAGGAAGTGTTGTTGTAACTGTCTATAGTATGATATACGAACATACGGCTGATACCAAGCTTTTGAAGTATCTGGAATATGACCGACGGCTCCATACCCACTTTGTGCAAGGCGATCACCGCAATCCTATTTTCTTTAACACACCATTCCATATTGTAATTTGATAACGAACACGAAAAAATATGTGGAATGCCGCGAAATTGAAAGAACTTTTAAAAATAATGAACGCGTTCCAAATTCAAAATAATTAAAAAGTTGAAAAAAAGAAAAGTTTTTATGTAACAGTATTTTCCATAGATTACTGTATATATACTAGAGAAACTGTGCGTAATTTTGTGATTTTGTGTTGGTCTTCTTATTTTGTGACTCGGCTTTAACTTTTTGGGCTGTTTCTTCTATATTCGTTGAAGCATGTGCCCATGACACAAAGGATCATTGGGCAAAAGTGGTAGAAAAAACAAAAAAAAATTATTATGGATGACTTTGAAAGAGACATTAATTTTGACTGTATTGTTGAAAATCAAACAATGACAGCTCAACCAGTTGTACTGAAAGTGATTGAATAAGTTTATTTTTAATTTAGTTTTAATCTTAAATTTTTATAACTGTGCCTTTAGAAATAAACAGTAACAACGAATACGTAGAAACTGATAAATCTTGTGTTTTAAATTATCCGTTTTTAATTTATTCTGGTATTATTCAAACCAAACTGTAAATGATTACCAACTCTAAATAATCTATATCGATTTTTTTAAGAATCGAATATTGTATGTTCCCATTTTTTGGTTGACATGCCTGGTGCAATAAGTCTAACAGCTGTCAATATGTATTTCTTAGATTTGGTTGACTATAGTAATTTCTGTTGTTTTAGTAAGGATATTTTACCTATTATAATTATTGCATAAGGACAAAAACCCTTCCTTTTTTCACGTCGCAACAGAGCGTCGGCATGGCATGATTTTTTGTATGGGGATAGTTTGGTGACTGTAGAGTGACATAGGCTACTTTTTTCCGCGGAAAAACATCTCATTCCCGTGGGAAAATCGAATATGTTGCAAAATTAAATTCAGCTAGGTGGCGCCACCGTGATTCTACAAGACGGACGACGGTACGATGGACGAACACAGGTCAGAATATCTGGATTATTATGTCTTTTTACCAAAATTAAGATAAAAAATGTATGGATCTGTATGTTTTCCGGGAAGAGAGCGATAAAAACATAAAATTCACCAGCTGATTTTCTTCAAACGTTTTGGTGCATTGTAATTCACAGAATAAGCGATAACTTCGCAGACGATATTAAGTAATCCGTTGATGCTCTGCCTACCCCGCAAGGGTTACTAATATTTATTGAACGGAAATGAATACAGTTCTTATATGTGGTTATGAATGAATCGGTATTACAATAAAAAAAATTATGCAAAATTATAAGAAAAATATTTTTTCAGAGTTCTTATTAACTCGCGCGTCAACTTATAATGGATACGGTACCTATACGCTTAAATTGTTTCTATTTCGTAGCTTATTCGACTACCTGCTTTCTATTTCGGTTGTTTGTTATTTGCTTTGTGATTTGGTTAAGGTTGAATAGATTTATATTGGCTTTCATTTTCGGATTTGTGTATTTTCTTGGATCGGTTTTGTTGATTTGGTTGGTATTCCTTTATACATATTTAGACTCTGGCTTAGATTTTGGATTTTGTTTATTTAGAATCGTGAATTGGTTTTCATTGTTTTAGGTTGTTTAACAATATTTCAAAGGAATATTAATAGTATAGATAGTATATACGGTACCTATACATCTACTTCTTTTTTCGTTGGTTATATTTATATTGACTATTGCTTTCGATTTCGGTTTTCTGCGATTTGTTTTGTGATTTGGATGTGATTTTTTTGGCTATCGTTTTCGGATTCGTGTTGTGTCTTGAATTGGTTTTGTTGTTTTGATTTTAAAAAATATTTAAAAGGAATATTTATTCCTTTTAGATATTTTGGATTTGCTTTAAAAAATATTTAAAAGGAAATTTAATTCCTTTTTAGGTATTTTAACGTTTTTTTTATAAATAGGTTTTTTGTTACTTCATAATGCCTCGCAAACGTAAGTCCAGTCTTTCAAGAGTATCTTCTCAAAGACAAGCGAAAAGATTAGCTTGATCGCTAGAATCTTTAGAAGATGCTGAACTGAGAAGGCAAGAACAAGCAGAGCGTCAGGCTGCTTTTAGAGCTTCCGAAACACCTTCTCAAAGTCAGGAAAGGCGTCTTGAAAAGGCAAAGCGTCAAGCTACTTTAAGAGCTACTGAAACACCTGATCAAAGTCAGCAAAGGCGTCTTGAACAGGCAGAGCGTCAATCTACTTTAAGAGCTACTGAAACACCTGCTCAAAGTCAGCAAAGGCTATTCGAACAAGCGGAACGTCAGGCCGCCTTAAGAGCCGCGGAAACACCTGATGAGACTCAACACAGACTCATTAAGCAAGCTGAACGTCAATCTACTATAAGGGCATCTGAAACACCAGAACAGACACAGGCGCGAAGAGATGCAAATGCACAGCTCCAAGCTGAACGACGATAAAATTTTCAAAGAAACAATTGGTCGGTTTTTAACTCTTTCCGGGACAGACCGCCTCTCGACGTTATCTCGGTATATTGCTACTTGACAGTACGACCAACGGCGGTGAACTTTATTACATGTAATTTGGCAAGCCGTCGACAACATTCCTAGGAAGCACATGATCTAGTGTCACATCACGCGACTTCATTCGTTCGTAGGCGTCACGGTAAACTCTTTTCGAGTCATTTTTCAACACAGACATACGCAGTGCTCATAGACCAAAACAACACAGTCACACCGCCGACAGACGTAGACTCTAGACCAGTGATTCCCAAAGTGGTCTATATCGACCCCTGGGAGTCTCTGACAACCTGCAAGGGGTCTACGTCAGCGAAAAAAAATTTGGGGTTCGATGAAATGAAAATGGGGGTCCACGATAGTGGATCTCAACACATACACTGATAGTACCTATATACTTACATCATACTATCTTATAATATCAAAACATATATATTATTTATAAAAGATTTATAGTTTATTTTATATTTATTTAATGTTACGTATATTTTACATAACAGATACAAAATTTTATTTTGAGTAGTTTTAATTTAAATTCAATTGATAAATGTATAAATTAACATGTGTTTTTACTTTAAGTTTTTAACACTAAACTTCACTACAGTTAGAAATTTACAGGAAATCAATGTCAGATAATTAGGGGGTCTATCCAACATGGAAAAACATGGCAAGGGGTCTACGACACAAAAAAGTTTGTGGGAACTCTACTCTGGACTGAGCTATACAAGTATAATGATGTTGATATTTAGTGTCACGGCGTGTGCGCCGCCAGCGTGTCGTCGCATAGCTGCGTGTGGTTTTTGATTTTCATCAGCGAAAGCAAGGTAAATAAAGCTTATTTATACCTATAATCTAATTTAGTTTGATTCATATATTTGTTATGTTATACAGTATTGCTGTTTTTTTTTTACTTGTAGGGATAAAACATGATGTAAAAGTAAGAAATTAATAAACATAAACATATTGTTCAAATGCTATTTACCCACTATTTTAGCTTCTTACTAACTGTTTTTATTGTAAGTATTTACCTATATTGTTTCGCAGATGGCGTCAAAACGGAAGAAACTGACATCAAGTAACTGTCCAAGTCTGTTTTCTGCTGAAGACAATGCGGATGAAAGCCACCACGACCTATACAGTGACGCAGATGGTGAGTTCGGTTCTGATTACATAATATGACCCAGAAGGTGCAGTTCGGTTCTTATTACATAATTTGATCCAGATGGTACTCCAGAAAGCGAAACTAGTGGATCAGATTATGAGATTTTCAGTACGAGAAACGTTAGGCTTATGCGTTCCAGTAGGATTAGTAAAACCCCACTTTGGTCCAGCGATTCGAGATCAAGTATGGACGATTCTATATTGAACCAGGAAGTCGATGAAAGGTCTTGCAATGACCCGTCTGTCCTAGAAAACTGCGTAGAAGATGGAGTAGTGTGCTCTCCAAAACCTCGCTTATCTTGTCATTACCATCATCAAACTGAACAAATAGATCCAAATCCCACCGATATATTATCAAATCAAACACTAGAGACTGTCAATGAGCATTTACCAACTACCTCAGCCCCGGATGACGCAGGATGGGTAGATACTGTTGCCGATATTAGTGATTTTACCATCGATCAGACATTACCCGGCCCACGGTGCACATAAATGTAGTTGCAACTGAAAAAGATGTTTTCGATTTACTGTTAACGCCAGACCTTGTTGAGTATTTAGTGAATTGCACGAATGCATATGGTAACTCATTAGTAAACCAAAACCGACCGCACACTAGACACAGTGTGCGGTCGGTTTCAAGACACAGAGTTTTTCATGAGACAAATGTAGAGGAGATGTATAAATTTCTTGGTCTTTCTCTGCTTTCCGTACAAATTCGTGTGCCTGAAAATCGTAAGCTATTTACTCACTTTATTACCATCCTATTTTCAATTACGTGATGTCGGGTCGAAGGTGCGAGCAAATCTTACGATGCCTATGCGCATCTGAATTCAACGCGAAAGGGCCAGATAAAATAAAATGGATTTATAGATATACTGACTCGCAATTTCCGTCAAGGCTATTATCCTGATAAGGAGCTATCGCTTGATGAATCTATAATGCTTTTTAGAGGTCGATTAATTTTTCGCACATATATGCGGAACAAGAACACCAAGTACGGAATTAAGTTTTATGTATTAACTTCTCATGGCGGATATCTTTGGAACCAAAAAATGTATTCTGGTAAAGCAGACGTTAATGAATCTAATACGTATGGAAAAACCATTGAAAAACTTGTCTTATGTTTAATGAGACCTTATCTGCTTAAAGGCCATGAATTATACATGGATAATTTTTATAACTCCGTGACTCTCTCTGAAAAACTTCTTGACCTGAAAACACATACGTGTGGGACATTCAGAAGTAATCGAAAGGGTAACCCAATACTTCTAGCAAAAAAAAAAAAATAATTGAAAAAGGTGAATATTTTTGGCTACGAAAAGGCAAGGTTTACGCGATTCATTGGAAAGATAAACGGCAAGTTTTGATGTTGACAACTTTGGATCAACCTGAGATGATTGAAGTTACCAACAGACGTGGGCAAAAGCGCAAAAAACCTAAAGAAATAGCTCGGTACAACAGCTTCATGTCAGGCATTGATCGTGCTGATCAAATGATCAGTTACTATTCTTGTCCACGGAAGACGATAAGGTGGTACAAAAAAGCTATTTTTTACATGTTGGATGTCGCTGCCTGGAACGCATTCTTCTTGTTCAAAAAGTATGTTATAAAGAAAAATGTCAAGAAATACGGATATGTTGAATACAGAGATAAGTTGATAAGAAGTTTTACGAAACTTGGTGATGTGGTTGGGAAAGACCTTGTCTCAGTTGACGCATGGAAGAGATATCCACCAAAAACTCCTGACCCAAGCACCTCAACGCCAGGAACAGGCGTTGGTTATTGGCCAATTCGCATTGCAGCGCATGAAAATTCGAAAAAGAAGTATTCTTTTCTAAACTGTAGAGTTTGCCTAAGTCAGGAGCCAAAAAGACGTAGGGAGATAAGTTACCGATGCAGCGGCTGTCCCAAATCTTCTCCACTATGTCCAGAATGCTTTGAAACCTGGCACAGTATTTCTAATCCTCACATACGCCAATAATTGGATTATTTATTTCCTTTTCTACGAATTACTTTAGATAAGAAGAAACTCTGTTCAATATGTTGTAAGTTTTAAACTTAGAAGTTCTGTATTTTGTTTAGTAATTTTTAAAGTTTTTTTATGGCTTCTTAAGTTACTTTAATATTATTAAAAGGATGTCAATTAAAGGAATACTAAGATTAGACTACTAAGATAGAATAATAAGACTGATTACTGTCAAAGAGAAATAAAATACAAGTTTGATTTATCTAGTGTTGATTATTTTCTTACCTGTTTAGTGTAGATGACATTATAAAAGAACCTAAGTTGTTCGAAAGGCAATAACGTCAAGGGCCATAACTGTCATATAACAATTTTAGAAATAACAATTTTATGACAGACCTCCTCTAGGCGGTACGCCTATTTCAGTATTGTCAATAAGCTTATCAACCAGTCTACATGGAATGACAAAACGTTTAAAGGCGGTCCCGCCCAACGCCGATGTTGCCTTATAATACATTAAAGATAAACCTATTATGACAGGCCGCCCTTAGGCGTTAGCGGCTTAGGGCGTTCCGTAAAAATAAACCTTTTCAAATGTATGTAATATGGCAGACCGCCTATAGACGGTACTGTCTGTAGCCGCACTGTCTCATTACATTACTCATGGTTAGTCATGGTATGACGTTCCGCCCATAGGCGTCAACGTCTGTGGTCTGTGTGTATTTATCGTATCAAAAAATTTAAAATATATGTAATATGATAGCACGGCTGTAGACGATGCGATAAAATGTATGGGATTTTGAAGTGTCATATCATGACATTTGCAAATAGTCAAGTGTCCCGGAAAGTGTTAATAACGCAGCATTCAATTATGATCCGTTGATTGATTATAAAAATCACAGGTTAGTTGTTATCGGACGGATGGACAAGGCGTGTCGATTTTGCAGCGCTTTAAAATGGAAAGATGAGACCGCAGGCATGTGCTGTTCCAATGGCAAAGTGTCTCTTCCGTTATTTGGGGAGTCACGGCGCTTTTTAAACAGGATCCGGAAATATAACTCATGCTTTCAAATGACGTCCTTCAGAGTTGACCGGGAAATAATAATGCTGGGATTTTCGCCTACATTCACGGTGCAAGGGCAAATTTATTATAGAATAGGTCCACTTTTTCCAAGTATATTTTATGGGTGATGAAGAAATTGAGGTAGACCGTCGCTGCCAATTTATCTAGGGAGTTGAGAGAGACACAGTGTTCAAAATTCAAAGATTCTTGCATGAACGTAACATTTTAGTCAAAACATTTGAAACTGCTTTAGAAAACCTACCTGAAGAGGATTATAAAGTCGTCATTCACGCAGATCGGACCCCTCGAGGAGAGCATGAAAGGCGCTACAATGCACCTTTGATAAACGAAATAGCAGCCGTAATTAGTGGTGATCAATTTTCTTCACGAGACATTGTCTTGCGAGCACGTAATGATACGTTGCAACGGGTAGCCGATACACACAAGTTTTATGACGCTCTGCAATACCCATTGATTTATTGCAAAGGACAAGAGGGTTATCATTTTCAAATTCCACTTATTATCCCGGTCACAAAGGAGCCTACTCTGAACAAAAAAGTATCATGTATGGATTTTTATGCGTATCATATGATGTTGCGAGAAAATGATTTTAACCTCTTAGCCCGGTGTAGACAATTATTTCATCAATTTTTGATAGACATGTATGTGAAGGTAGAAAGTGAACGTCTCCATTATATATCTTTAAATCAAAAAAAGCTGCACGTTGAGAATTATATACATTTACAAGATGCAGTTTCTAGCGACGCAAACCCCTAGAGATTTAGGTAAAATGGTAATTCTGCCCTCATCATTCGTTAACAGTCCACGCTACCTACATGAGTACACACAAGACGCATTCGCCTATGTACGAACTTACGGAAGACCTGACCTTTTTGTTACTTTCACTTGCAATCCCACATGGAAAGAAATAACCGAGGAGCTAATGACGGGCCAAAAAAGTACTGACAGACACGATTTAGTTGCTAGAGTATTTAGATTAAAAGTACAAAAATTAATGTATGTAATTAACAAAAGCAAAATTTTCGGAGAGGTGCAGTGCTTCATATATTCAATTGAATGGCAAAAAAGAGGATTACCGCATGCCCACATTCTAATATGGTTTAAAGAGAAGTTGCGGCCCGGCCAAATAGACGACATAATAAGCGGCGAGATTCCGGATCCTGAGCAAGATAAAGAATTGTATGATACCATCGTCCGAAATATGATTCACGGTCCATGTGGAGCACGAAATTCAATATCGCCATGTATGAAAGAAGGAAAATGTACAAAGAAATTCCCTAAACAGCTGTTAAAAGAAACAGTGCACAATGACAATGGCTACCCTTTATACAGACGCAGAGCTCCCGAAGATGATGGCAGGAAAGTTACATCAAATCTCGCTCTGGAGCGTTCGAAACTTTAGATAACAGCTGGATTGTCCCGTATTCGCCCATTCTATGTAAAATGTTTAATGCCCAAATTAATGTAGAAGCATGTAGCTCTGTCCGCGCAATCAAGTATATCTGTAAGTATGTACTTATGTAAATAAAGGAAGCGACCAAGCAATATTTAATCTCAGGAGTGAAGGTGAGGCAAATCCCGTTAATGAAGTACAGACCTTTCAAGCAGGGCGTTATGTCAGCAGTAACGAGGCAGCGTGGCGTCTCCTTGGCTTCCCTTTACACGAAAGGCACCCAACAGTTACTCACCTTGCTGCGCACTTAGAAAATGGAGAGCGTGTATATTTTACCGAAAGAAATTTCCAAGAAAGAATTGCATCACCGCCAAAAACTACACTAACAGCCTTCTTTCAACTTTGTCAAACCGACCCCTTTGCAAAAACGTTGCTATATTCTGAAGTCCCCCGCTATTATACCTGGAACACATCTAGGAAGGAGTGGATACGCCGTATTCAAGTCGCGCCTGTTGCAAATTGGCCCGGTGTAAAGACATCAGATGCCATTGGTCGTATGTATACCGTCCATGTAACTAATTTTGAATGTTTCTGTTTACGATTGCTGCTGCACCATGTTCGGGGTCCTACAGGATATAAAGACCTTAATAGTGTCAACGGTCACGAATGCGCAACTTATAGAGAAGCATGTGAAGCTCTGCATCTTTTAGAAAAGGATAATCACTGGGATGAAACCATGGAGGAAGCTGTGCAGTGCCAGTCACCAGCCAAAATTAGGGATCTTTATGCAACTCTCATATCATCTTGCGTGCTATCTAATGCACATGAATTGTGGGACAAATATAAAGAGTACATGGCGGAAGATATTTTGCGAAGGTTACAGCGTTAGCGAAGGTTAACGCGAACATGACATACAATGAACACATTTATAATGAAGCACTTGGAAAAATTGAAGATAAAGTAATATTAATGGTAGGCAAAACATTAAGCGACTTTAGAATGATAAGCCCTCAGCGAACAACCAAAAATGAACTAAGTGATGAAATTATACGTGAAACAAACTACGATATACCAGCTTTGCAGCAGCAAGTAGCCGAATTTGTAACCCGCTTGCTTCCCGAACAAAAACGAGTTTTTGACAAAGTATTAGGACAAATTAAATCTGGAAATGGTGCACTTTTTTTTAGATGCCCCTGGAGGAACTGGGAAGACATTTTTGTTAAATTTATTATTAGCGCAAGTACGGAAAGATAAAAACATTGCTGTGGCCGTAGCTTTCTCCGGTATAGCCGCCACGCTGCTAAGCGGGGGCCGCACTGCACATTCTGTTTTAAAACTCCCTCTAAATCTAGCCCAGGAAGAATCGCCGATCTGCAACTTTAGCAAAAATAGTGCACGAGGTATAATGCTACGACAATGCAAACTTTTAGTGTGGGACGAAAGTACAATGTCGCATAAAAAAGCTGTAGAAGCACTAAATCGAACGCTCCAGGATTTGCGCAGCAATACCGATGTAATGGGAGGAATGGTGGTTTTACTGGCTGGTGACTTTCGCCAAACTTTACCTGTCATTCAAAAGGGCACACCTGCAGATGAAATTAAAGCATGCCTCAAGTCGTCTATTTTATGGAACAAGGTGACAAAATTCAGTTTAACTACGAATATGAGAGTGCATTTGTATAACGATATCAATGCTGGAAACTATGCTGACACACTATTAAAAATTGGCGATGGGCGGTAGGAAACGGATGCTGAGGGCTGCGTTAAATTGACGAGAGATTTTTGTAATTTAGTACAGAGCCATTCCGAATTAATTGCGAGGGTTTATTCAGATTTAACGAACAATATGCATGAAGACAAATGGTTATGTGAGGGCGATTCTTGCACCAAAAAATGAGAGCGTTAACAAAATAAATTCAGATATATTAAGCGAAGTATCAGAAGAAATAACAAAGTATTTATCAGTAGACACAGTTATGGACACAGAACAGAGCACTTCATATCCCGCAGAGTTTCCTCTTTCATTCAATCCTCTAGAGTTGTCAGGTGTGCCCTCACATAAGCTTCAATTAAAATTCGGGGTCCCAGTCATGCTAATGCGAAATTTAGATGCTCTTCGGTTATGTAACGGGACACCGTTACATAACCGAGGAGCATCTATAGAGGCTGCGTGTGACACATCTTGGACGGAACATAATCGGTGCTACAATTTTGACAGGCGTAAAAAAAGGTGAAAATGTTATTATACCACGGATCCCTATAATTCCCACATATCTTCCTTTTCAATTCAAAAGGTTGCAGTTCCCTATTAAGCTCAGTTTTGCAATGACAATTAATAAAGCGCAAGGGTAAACGTTACAGGTAGCGGGGGTCAACTTAGAAAAACCGTGCTTCTCTCATGGTCAGCTGTATGTAGCATGTTCGCGTGTGTCAAATGCCCAGAATCTCCACATTCTTTCCCCGAATGGAAAAACATATAACACTGTGTACAGTAGCGTCTTAAAATAGTGTTCAGTTAGTTTTTTTTCCAAAATTCCCACA